CAGGCGAGTAAAACTGACTAATATTTGGGAGGCAGGCATGAAAGTCTTGTCAAAGCCTGACTTCTTTTGCTCCAATCAATTCATTACTTTTGGAACTTGGTTGAACCATTAGTGGTCTGTTTTGTGACTTTTATTGATCAAATCAAAACCTACCAGTAACCACAGCTGTTTGAGAACAATACATATGCTTTCAAAACAATAGTTGGAAATTCTTCAGGCAGAACAAAATGCTTCATGAATCACACTTAATTCAGCTCTTAATTCACAGGTCACATTCAAATTTTTAAAAAAATTTTGTTTACATGGACATGAAAAGATCCTAACATCTTAAATCACAATTCACAAATAAAAAAAATCAATTCACAATTCTTTAATAAAAAAAAATTAAATCACAATTCACAAGAAGAAAAATTGCCCAATCATGCTTGATGTAAAAAGTATATAGGGAACCCTCTTTTTAGAGATTGGCAAGGATACAACCCCTTCTAGTATATTACAATTTTCCTTTAAAACCATGAGAAGTAACATGTTTATTACTTTTGAGAAATTTATGTTGAAAATGATATTTAGTCATTGGTAATACAATCAACAAAACTGTGTTCTTTTGGCAATACACTTATTAATGTGTGACATTTTCTTTTGCTTTTTTCAGATTAGATGCCTGGTGGGTGAACAAGTGGACCAAGCTTCAAGCTGATCTATTCCAAAATGCTTATTATACTTTGCAATCCAGCTGTAAGGTGAACCAGATAAACAAACTCTTTTAATAAGCTAAGCTTTGTTTTGATGCAAGGTGGTAAATGCATGATGCTGCTGATTTGATTTAGAGCAGCATCAGTGCATGTGGGACATAATCTTGAAATTCATCTCAGACATGCAGTGTATCAACATGCAGTGAGTTAAGGTTGATTTTTCTGTCTTTTTTCATTGTTTGATGTCAGAGTTGACTGTCTGATTCACAATTCCAAAAAATGAACCCATGTATCTGGGATAGAAAATTTTTTACAAGAAAGCATGAAGCTATGTTGGGAATTTCTAATTCTAGAAATTCCAAGTTGTTCCTATCACCGTTTGGTGAGCTTGGAAGCAGATGCCAAGCAACAATTATTCTAGCATGAGGAACTGGCTGCAACTGAAGTGCCTTCAAAGCATAGAATCTGCAAGATATTGGGATCACAGGCAAAATGGTTGACTTGCACCTGTCTGGTTGACTGTCTGTCTGACTAATTGTGATTGACTGACTATTGGATGGTCAACTACAGTACCTTCATGTAACTAAAAGACTTACTGTGTATTTTGCCGACTGTTAAACTGTTAGACTGGCTAACTGACCAACTGATTGCTTGACCATCTGATTGAATGAATAACTGAATGAGTCACTGACTGATTGACTAACAGACTGACTGATTAACCAACAGACTGACTGATTAACTAACAGACTGACTGAATGACTAACAGACTGACTGATTAACTAACATACTGACTGAATGACTAACAGACTGAACGACCCTCTTCCTGTCTATTTGGCTTACTGATAAACTGTCAGACTGGCTGATTTACTGATTGCTTGACCATCTGATTAACCTACCAACTGATTGGCTGGCTGACTAACAGACTGACTGACTGATTGGTTGACCAACTAAGTGGCTGGTTGACTGTCTCAATAACTGACTGCATGATAACTTAACTTACTAGCTGTCTAGCTGACTGATTTAACAACTGACTGACGGACAATTCACTGACTGGCAGGCTGATAGACTGTTACACTGACTGACCGATGGACTGTCATTTGAGTAATTGACAAATTGACTGACTAGCTATGACAGACTAACTGGCTGGGTGCCTGGCTGCCTGGCTGATTGACCAACCAACAAACTAAATGACTGTCTGACAGACTGGCTACCAAAGCAACTGATTGGTTGCCTACCTGACATACTGACTGGCTGGCTGACAACAGACGGATTGATTGACAAACTGTCTGATGGGCAGTCATGTAGACTGACAGGCAAGCATTCGATTAATCAATGGTTGACTACAGTACCTTGTAGTTAAGAGACTGGTTCGCTGACGTACTAATGGCTTGTCCATATAATTTAACACCTCACTGACTGGTTGGCTGATTGAATAATGTACTGACTGACTGAGAACTGACTCGCATTGACTGCTGACTGACTAACTGACAAATTGACTGACTGACTAACTGGCCAATAAAGCAACTGACAGACTGTCTGACTGATTTATTGACTGTGTGGATGATTAAGTGACAGACTGAGAACTGACTGTCATTGACTGCCAACTGACTAACCAACAAATTGACTGAGTGACTGGCTGACCAATTAATTGACTGTGTGGCTGACAAAGTACTGACTGAGTGACTGATGGACAGTCATCTAGCTGGCAGGCAGCCGTATGGGTATACAAAATCACCCTAGTGCAGAGTCACTGGCTTCACTGCTTGTGAATTGTGTACTGAGGAAAGACAAAGAACTATTGTTGAGTCTGAGCCACACAAATAGGGCATGAATGGTACAGCATGAAATAAGAGTTTCACCCATTCATACTTTAATCAGTCAACGGTCACAAATAAATCAAAAGTGGCAACATTAAATTGCCTTCCAGAATGCACTCAAATAAATATTCTTTGATGAGAGAATCAGTAGTTTATTATAAATGAATGATTATGCACCTCAACATGACTTACATACAACTGTTTATCTAAATAAATTGATACATGGTTGCCACAGCTCAACAAATGATCCAGAAAAATTCTTTAAGGCTTGGGGGGTTACAGAAACTTAACTTGGAGTTAGGAAGAACTTGAAATTTTGAAGAAAACTTAAGGATAACTTAATAACATCATTATGCCTCCATTTTCTTGTCATACTCTTTTGTGGAATGAGGCCAGGATTGATTGCAATTGGAGGAAAATGTATGAGGGGAGTGGAAGGACTGGCTGTCAGGAGAAGCTGGAGGCTGCTACTCATCTGCAGTCTCTGATATT